ATGAGAATTATTTCACTGATTCTCTCCTTTATGGTAACGAATCATATACTGAATCATCGGCCCAAGGCACAGACAGCGGAGGAGAAGCTGATACCGAAGCCGGATTTGATTACAATGGCGGTTATGTTCTAAATGACATTGTACCCTTTGTAATCAACCTCGACGATGATCAAACGTCAGAGGGCAGTTGTAACTGGCAACTTGCCACCAATGAAATAAATAATGATTTAGAGTACTTAATCCTGACTTGTACATGCCGCTTCGGTCGTCCTATGTAACAAAGGAACGCCTCCAGCATTCTTTCGGAACAACCATGATCATCCCGAACAAGATAGGAGGTGCAAAAGAAGTAATTTATGGTAAAGGAAAAAGCTCTCCTTTGCCAGATCATTTCCTAAGCGAAGATGAAGACGACGACAAACCTGGTTGGCATTTATCTAAGTATAGTCCGGAAGCGCGCAAGCTCATGGAAAAGCAGGGGTACGATTTCACACTCGGAGAAGGTCTATACTTCAATCGAGGTCCTCGTAATCCAGCCAAAGCGGTATATGTACCAAAAGGGAAACCCGAGGATTATTATAAATACGGGCGAGGCTTAGGCTATGTTTCCTCGTCCGATGATGAATGTGGTTGGCAAATCATCGATCAAATTGCTAACAAAACTAAGAACGGATACTCTTCTGATTCTTCAGCTGGGAATTCCGACACAAGTCTAGGGGAGGCATTCAAAGCCCTAATGGTAAACATGGCTACAGCTGATCCGTCTACAATGGAGGACGATGATCAAATGCCAACATGGGAAGACCCGTGGGTTCATCATCTGAATATGCAGTATGGTGACAGGTTCGAACAGAGAGAACCCCCCACTGAGGATAAAACAGTCCAAGTTAACATGGGCGGCGATAGTCTTCCCCCAAATGAGAAGGAGGAGTTAATTGCTCTCATCAGGGAGTATATTGACGTCTTCGCTTGGAACTACGAGGATATGCCAGGGCTCGACCCCAATGTGGCAATGCACCGCCTCAATATCAAGCCGGACGCCAAACTTGTCAAGCAACAGCAAAGACGGTTTCGTCCGCAGATAATGGAAACCATCGAGGCAGAGGTTAAGAAATTAATTGAATCGGGATTTATCCGAGAGGAACAACATCCAGATTGGCTAGCCAATATCGTTCCAGTCATGAAGATGAAGTAGAACGGTAAAATCAGGATTTGCATCGACTTCAGAGACCTGAATACGGCATGTCCAAAAGACGATTTTCCTCTCCCAATCACGGATGTCATTATTGACAATACATGCGGATTTGAAAGGATGTCTTTCATGGATGGGTTTTCAGGATATAACCAAATCAAGATGCACCCAGATGATGAGAAGCATACAGCGTTCAGAACGCCCCTTGGTGTATTTTGCTACACGGTAATGCCATTCGGTCTAAAGAATGCAGGCGCCACGTATCAACGAGCGATGACTAAAATCTTTCAAGAACATCTCAGGAAAACAGTCGAATGCTACGTTGATGATTTGGTTGTAAAAAGCCGCAACAAAGAAGATCACATCAAGGACCTGAAGACGATGTTCGATCTCATGAGGAGTCATCAACTGAAGATGAACCCCACTAAATCATTCCTTGGAATGTCCAGCGGAAAATTCCTGGGATTCGTCATCACCACTAAAGGTATTCATATCGATCCCGATAAGGTGAAGGCGATACATGAACTGCAACCCCCTAGAAATCTAAGAGAACTCAGAGGATTGCAAGGTCGCTTTACTAGCACAAGACGACGATAACGGTCACGAACAGGCAGTTTATTACCTAAGTCGGACCTTGATAGGCGCCGAGTCTCGATATCCGATGATTAAGAAAGAATGCCTCGCATTGGTATTCGCGATGCAAAAGATGCGGCATTACTTGGTTGGACAGACGATTTACGTCATTTCCAATGTTAATCCAGTACGGGTGTTTATGACACAACCGGCCTCTATGAATTGGCGGTTAGCGAAATGGGCTCTTCTCTTGTCCCAATATGATTTGCATTTCAAGCACCAGAAGTCGATCAAAGGGCAAGCGATTTGTGATCTTCTGGCGGCAAACCCGACCACAGATACGGCAGAAGTATATGATGACTTGCCGGATGAAACCCATGAGGTTAATACTACATCGCACCAACAAGTATGGCAATTATATTTCGATGGTGCTTCAAGGTCAGTTAATAGGGTGATAACCCCGGGAGGTTCTACAGTTTCCTCCGGGGTTGGAGTTGTCTTAATCTCCCCGGGAAAGCATGTGATACCTCGAGCTTATTCGCTGACTAATCCATGCTCCAATAACGTAGCCGAGTACAACGCGCTTCTCATTGGACTCAGTTTCGCTAAGGAGCTGGGGGTCGAATATCTCGAAGCTTTTGGGGATTCTCAATTGATAGTCAACAAAGTCCGGGGAGAGTATGAAGTCAGGAACCATGACCTGATCCCATACCACCAGGAGGCCATCAAAATGGCAGAATCTTTTGAAGAATTCTTCATTGAATAT